GGCTTGTCAAGGGTTGGAACACCATGTGTGCTAAATGTGTTGTGGGGTTCGATGACGTCCGCTGTATCAGAGCAACTAAGATTCAATAACACGGGATGTCATGCGAGAACCTGGACGACTCGATAGTAAAACTTCTTTGTGGAAGCAGTGGATGAATAGTCCGATGGTCATCGTGTCCCGCGACATAGAGAATCCACTGGTCAACTGTAGCGCGTTGCAAGGACAAATGAAGAGGTTACTGGCGCCTGCTCGAACAACTCGATGATCAGCGGGAGCACAGGTTCTATTACAGGTCTTAATACAAGTGATATCAGAACGGGGATCCCCAAGAGCACGCTCACAAGTAACACACCCTTGCAAATTCCTCAACACTGTTAGGTTGATGCTAATATTGAAAAATTCCTTAAAATCCTCGGCGGAGGGTAATGATTTTATGTTTTCACGCAACGGTGAACGAACCCTTTTGCTTTTGTAGAACTAGCGAAAATGATCAGTTTCGATTTTTTTTCGAATACCCCGTCACACTGTGTGAGGTTCAACTCTGGGGGTAGCACGACGAATTACGTCTCCTTATCGCGCCTTCCTGCTTACCCTCTTTGACCACGGCGTACCGCTTGGCTGCAGCATGAACGTCACGTTCATTTGCCTCCGTGTCTCTACTCTGCAGAATCATGTATCGCATGACTGAAACTCGAGAGCAATTCATTTAGGACGACCAGAAGCCTTTCCAAAACCGTCATTTTTGTCCCTTTATTCCTCTAGGAACACTTATAATGCTATTGCCCTCATTAATGACTTTTTATCCTTGTCACGCATCAAGTTAGACCTCCCAGCAAGACAGCTGCTCGCACTATATCACTCGTATCTTAGTATCCATCAAGTTTCATGTTTCCCCTTCTCCCGAAGAACTGTGTTATCTGTTTATTCAGTATGTGATTTTGTGCCTTCGAGGTTTCCACGTGGAACAGTTTATTCGTAGGCCTGACATTTCGATTTCATCGTCTTCTTTCCAAGAGATGCGCACTACTCCGCCAAGCGCCGAACCTCACCCCAGCATTTCCGGTACTGGTGTCACCTAACCGGGAAAATACGCAACACCAAAGGAACCCTCAACTCCGTTCTACCGTAGACGCGGCATAATTCGCTATTTCAAGGGACTTACAACTGCGTCTCTTTTTAATTTTCGAAAGGCGGAGGCGCAGGTAGCACTGGTGGCTTCAGAGCTCGCAGTATGGCATGAAGTGGGAAAATATCATTGAAAATTGAAGAACGCTCGTCTCGGTTCTTCATACGAGGATTTGTAACCGAAAACCGAAACACCCCCAATGTGTCCTAGCCACATCTCCTTTCTGATAAGTGTGTAAGAGATGATAGTAAGACCTATTGGCTACTGGATGTCATTATTCCCCGTCTACGCTGGAAACAGGGTAAGCCTTTCCTTCGGGTTGCATGAGATTCTCGGATGGGTTACTCCGTGTCATTGGAAATGCTAGAGTGTTTTGAGCACTTCGGAGGGACAGTAGCGTTACTGCGTACCGGAAACACTTTTAGGCGCTCTGAAGAACATGTAGGTCGAAACATCAAGCTCATAAATGAATTATTCTTCCTCAGATCTAGAAAGGCACGATGTCACATACTGAATAAACAAAAATAACTGTCTCCGCCTGGTTACAATCGACGGAGAGGAAGCGCTTGTTTTCGGCATTGGACCGCCTCACCCGATGCGTTCGGTTTAGTGCTTTCCGGAAATAGCCAGAGACGGATCGAGTGCCCATTGATTTTCCATCGTGTCCGGCGAGGCGAATACTTGAGAAACAGGTGGAGAAGAAACGTGCCAGCTGGAAAACAACAAAAGACAAGTTGCGCTGATCGTTGACTCTTTGTTTTTTTTTAACTTCTTTTACATCGATTACCTGATAAATGTAGGTGAAGGTAACCTGGAGACAGGTATAGAGACAGAACATCCGCACACCTGGAAGTGTTGTGAAAATGCCAATGCCGAATGTCATCTGAAATATGTTGTCTCGAGGAAAGTATCCATCGTTCTGTTACTAGATGAACTCAGTTGCCATGCATTCCATGGAAAAGTTCAACTCACAATATCGGTGACAGACGTGATTGTGATGGCAACAGCAGCTTCGGAAAGAGTGTCGGCAATACGACGGGCTGGTGAATGGTCTGGATTTGTTCGATGCCACTCCGCCGACATAACAAAGAGGTCGTCGATGCCAATACCTGGCTTGAGATAATTATGTTCGACCATTAATGTTAGTCCGTATTTAATGTTGTTTGACAACGTGAAACGTTGTTTGAGTATAAAACTTATCGCAACACGTATAACGTACGACTTCACGTCAAAACCGAAAGAGCAGTCGTGCTCAAAGAGAAGTGATGGTCATCTCTCATTCTCACTTGACTTTATGTTAAGATATTACATCCCCGACGCCACGTTCAACGAATTTTTTTCCTTTTGCTTGCGCTACTAAATCGCAAAGGCTCGCACGCCAATAATATAGTAGAACTCACAGAGTACGAGGAACGGTGACACATTAACAATAGCGTTGTAGAGTTCACCACACCATGAAGCCAGACAGCAAACCAAAAGAAGTTATGACTGCCAGAAGGGGGCACAAAACACCCTAAGAAAATACTGATATCTATTGACGACTCAGTGACGACTGGAGGGTCTCAAAGAAAGGAGATCAGGTTGGAGCACATGAGCAGTGCATTTTTGCAACGGAGCTTTAGTATGAAAACCCTCGTTGAGTGCATCATTAGCGAGCGATGAGGTGTGAAATTCGCTCTCGCACCTTTTCCACTACCAACGACTTTGCTCCTATTCTTTGATAGTGTTTTCTTGCGCAGACGTGGGGAGTAGTTTTAGGTGTTCATAGCATCCTATAACCTTCATTTATCTAGTGTTTAATGCTCTTTTTTTCGCTGGTCAACGGCAATTTTTATTGACTCCTTCCCGCAGATCAGAACGCGGACGGACAGACCCAGATCACGCACTACACGTGATCAGTACATTCTCCGGGGTCACTATACCGAGTGGCGAATCGCTTAATTTTTTCAGAGATAGTGCCCCTATTTGTGCTGATCTTCCGTCGCTTATTTGTCCGCCCTGAGGATGTAATGCGTCAGGTCAGTAATTGCGCAATACTTCCATAGTGTATGTAGATCGCGATCAGCGCGCTGAGCTAAGTGGTGTCAGAGTGAAGAACCCTACCAGGAAAACATGCTACGTCAGAATTTTGATATTACCCTTGGCCTTTCATTAAATCATTCTAACAGAGCATTCTGAACGTCTGAGATCAATGTTCTCCCTGAACTGAATGATTCTGGTTCCAAAAATACGACTTGCTACGACTACAACACTGTGCACAAGCCTAAGTCATTTTGTTTTCCATTTCCAGCCAGCTGCTATTGATTCCACATACGAGATTGCATGCTCCTGCTCAAGCAGATACAATGCACTTTCAGTTTCTCAGTTTGCTCAGAGAAGCATAGCCTACTCTACGGCCCGTTGTTAATAATTCCAATCATCAAAGTATCTCTTTCTTGTTGAACTAATCGTTTTGTATTCAGATATGAGGTACTTACTAACGAGTATTATTTTCTCGAACATTTATCCTGTGCTTGATACAATTTGCGCTTTTTACGGCAAAGTTGGCTGAAAAAGCACCACTTGGTGATATCTATGCTAAGTGACTGTATTAGCGATTGTGCTGTTCTCCTTGCGATCGGACTCGTAAAGCAGGAGGTGAAGTGGCAATCCTCAGAAGAGAAACTGTCAAACATAGACACTAGCTGAGGCAGCCCTCAAAAGGAATAGAATACTGACTGCGCATGCTGCTGCACACAAACACTCTACTAGGATTAATTTTAGTATACAGACCACCGTCCGCTTGTC